GGAGAAGTGTTCTAATGTTTTCAAAAATTTCACTGTGTCCACTAGTTTATGGGTAATACTCCTCTTTCCCAAATATTTTTGCAAAAAGCTTCTTTTGCAAAAGAAAAGTGCTTTCAAAGTGTATGGATCTATGCTGTCATTTAAGAAGTATTTGAAGGAAGAGACCCACCAAGTACTCTGAAGCAAGGGTCTCTGTTAGTAGGTTCTGCTCAGAAGCCCACAGACCTTCTACAGCTTATAGGGTACCGCTTTCCTGGAAAGCTAGTCTGGTGCACAGTGTGGGTATGGACATAGAATCTGGGCTTTGGAGGCTTTGATGCATTGTCCCACATCAGTTCCAAAATGTCTCCAGGGTGGGGGCATCCCCAGGTAACATGGATGCCTTCAGGTAGGACCTCCTAGTAGGATCTCCTAGTACTGTAGACCCTACAACACTGGTCCTCTTCATGATGAAATGGAAGAGGCCACTGCCTGCTGCCCTGCACCCCTTCCTTCCCTATGAGCTTCCATGCAAGGAGACCGGGGCACAGGAATGGCACAGGCTGTGCCTCTACCTTCCTAGGACAAACTGAGAACAAGCTGGAGTCACCAAGCCCCTCAGTCACAGTCCTGACAGGCCTCACACACACCTCTGCCTCTCCACCTCCTCCATAGCTATTGCTACCAGCACAGAGCCCTTCCTCAGCCCAGCTCACCAACCTCCATGGATCCACAGCACTAGTTCCGATTGGACAACCCTCCTCTGGCCCAGGCCAAGACACAGCACTGAAGGTCTCTCCCAAGCCCATCCTGCTGCCCAGCGCCCTCACCAGCCAAGCCCATATATCTCTCATGTAGCTCACACTCCCACCTCCCATGTATGCACAGTCCACAGTCATGACTCTCCAAGTGCCTGCCTGTGCCAGGCACTCCAGCAAACAACAGAATCTTTGCCCCACAAAAGCTCACATTTGAGTGGAGAGAGACAGGCAGACACGAGAACATGAAAAATCCCCGCTGAGCCAGGTGATGGTAAAAACTATGGAGAGAAATAAAGTAGCAGAGGACAAGTGAACTCGAGGAGAGTGGTGGGCAGGGAAAGTGGCATTTGAGCGATGTTCCCTCTGGGCACCTACTCTACACAGGGACCCGGAGGAGCATCGGTATGCGTCTACAGGCAGCCAGTGTGCAGCACGTTCTGGGAAAGGCAGAGTGTGGCGGGGATGGGCTGATGATCAGGGGCTTTGGGGAGATCGGCTAAGCCTTGTGGATCATGGGCTTTCACTGCAATTAAGACGGGAACCTGGAGATGCTGCCGGCGGACGGAGCCATCTGACTTAGATCACTCTGCGGCTGTGTGGAGAACAAATGGAAGGACCAGCAGCGGGGGTAAGCAAACAGAAAGCCCAAGCTCTCCTAGCTCGAGACAATGACAGCCCAGGCCAGCCACACCACACGGCAGCGGACACGGGCAGAAGGGCTGACGCTGTGAAGGGAGGAACACAGTTTGCTGGCGATGACGATGGGGGTCCCATGGAAAGAGCCGAGGCGGGGCTGCTGCGGGGTCACCGTGTGTTAAGAGGCAGAGACAAGCGGAGCAGCAGGCTGCAGCAGGGCAGGAGTGGAAGACCCCTGAGGTCAACACCTCCTCCAGGAAGCCCCCTCAAGACAAGCTGACAAGCCATGTACAGGTGTACACTCCAGAATGTTCTCTGCACTGGAGTTGTCTATCTCCTGGAGAACTCCAGGCTGAGTCACTTTGCACACACAGCAGATACTTAACAAATCTTCAGGGTGATATGCTGCATAGACTTGTACCTGTGATGTTTTAGTTTCTAAATTGTTCTTTAAAACCTCTGAAGACGATGTTCACCCCTCTTTAAATATAAAGCCAAAACTAACCTGCCTCAAATATACAGGTGCAGCTCTGCCCCTACTTATTCGAATTCCGGAGGAAATTCTCCCATAGAAAGGCTGGCCTAGCAGGCACTGAGTACATGGTTTAGTCGGTAAAGTGCTTGCCTCAAAAGCGTTGAGTCCCTCAATTCAGTCTCCAGAGCCCATGTAAAGGTCAGGTGCCGTGGTGTGAGACTGCACTCCCACCACTGGAGAGGCATGACAGGTACAGCCCTGGAGCACTCTGTCTAGTCAGCCTACCCAGTCAGCAAGGCCCAGGGCCCAGTGAGACTCTGTGACAGCTCCTGAAACATCCAAGGCTGATCTCTGTCCTAGACACACACAGACACATTCCCCACACATGAAAGGCCAGCCTTGGAAAAAGGGGTGTCACCTTGCCAGTCCTCATGTCCCAAGCTTTGATTTCAGAGCTGAAGCCGCCACATAAAAAGACGTTGTGATCTTTTGGATGAAATTTCAACGTGGTGATTCTGAAGTCACTCCGACCACTAAATACTTGGGTTCCTGTAACACAGACAGACAAGAAAGAGTGAGAAAATACTCAGATCACAAGTATTTCAAAGTGGAGATGTTCACACAGCTCTCCAGGGCCCTATGCGGCCCGGTGTAGACTTTCTGGAAACAGAGAAGGGTGGCAGTTCATTTCCACTCCCTGTCAAATCCCTCCCCAGAGACCCTGACTAACCCAGGCAGCTGATCCCAGGCCTCCACCTTCCCCTGCTCTGCCAGAGTTGTATGTCATCTCATTTCAACCAACTGCCAACCAACCACGGCACAGCTGAACACAGGCCTGGGAGGTTCGGGGAATTTCTCAGGCTGCACAGGCAATCCAGGAGACTGTTGATGCAGAAATCTGAAAATCTAAAAGCAAAGCTGGTTGGGATGTATCTCAGGACCCATCTTCCAATCCTTATAAAAATGAAGATGGGTTTGTTACAGTGTGCAGCAGGTGTGGGTGACCTGACATGCTGGGCCACAAATGACAGTGACCTGCACAGCAGCCCAGCCACAGAATGGACATCAGGTGTGGCTCACTGGGGTCTCACAAGCGCTACAGGACTCGAGACAGCCCTGGTCATTCTTCATATCATCATAAACGGTTGTTGAGTCCCTCTGTGCACTGTGGTAAATATCTGGCACACACAGACCCATGCGGTGTGGAAACAGCTGTCGCTATGGTTTCCTAGAGGTGAGCAATAGAAACTTCAGCGGTGTTCATCACTCAGGGACAGTTAAAGCCAGCACTCCCTCCACTGCCCAGTGTGACTTGTACACCCCACGGCACTGATGGGATTCTTATCTGTCACATTTAATTTGTTCACATCTGCACCAAGAAATCAGACCAGCTTTGAGAGGCACCACACGGGGAAGCACCTTGGCTTGGCTCCTGACACATCACTAGGGCCCAGGTCCATACGCCAGGGACAGCACCTGCCACCTTCCAATAGCACAGAGGAGGCTTCCCTCAGAGACAGCACAATGTCTTCCTCAGCCAAGTGGGGAAATCTTGGCCACCTTTGGCTACCACGTCTCCTCCACTGAACCAGGCAGCGGCAAAGTGGAACCCAGAAGCTGACAGCCAAGAAGCTGGGAAGGTGGCTGTCGGTAAAATCCATGCCAGAGAAGCATGAGGAGCTGAGTTTGATCCCAAAACCCACATAAAAAAAACTGGGCTTGCTGGTGCATGCTTGCAACCCCAATACTGATGGGCGGGGGGAGGGCAGACAGGCAGATCCCTAAGGCTTGCTAAGACTCCCCTCATCAGTAAGCCCTGGGTCCCAGTGAGAAGGTGGAAGGCTCAGGGAATGGTACCCGAAGTTGACCACCAGCTTCCGCAAACGTGTACACAAGCGAGCACCTGTACGCACACAGCTGGTGAAAAGGACAGCGTTGAGATGTCAAGCCCTAGAAGGTTATGTTGGTTCATTCTGGGCAGAAAGCACTCCCCGATGGCTTCTTCTGTCTGCTGACCCAATACACTGAGTAAGAACTCGGCCAGCTCCAGTTCGTCCGGTAAGGAAATGAAACTCATCAATCACAGCTTATGAGAGTCACAGAGGGACAGCACAGATCCAATGGCCAGAACCACTGGGCCATCTCTCCACTGCCATTATCAACGTTTTTTAAACACCAAAACATAGGACCTCTTACAGAGGGAGGCAAAAATAAACTAGCCAACTTTAAATATATCTTAACATGCCATATATTAAGAGCATCAAGCAAACTTATTTTTTAACATTTTATGTATTAATTTGGGGTGAATGTGCCTGTACAGCATGCAGAGGTCCGTGGACAACCTGAAGTGGTTGGGTCTCTCCTTCGGCTATGTAAGTCCGGGGGATTAAACTTAGTTCTCCAGACTTGGTGGCAGATGCCTTTACCTACTGAGCCGTCCTGCCAGCCCAAGGGCATCACAGCTTCCTAAAAATCATAAACACCACATGGGCTACAGAGTTATGACTATGGTACTTTTAGTGGTAGCTGTAGAACCAAATGTTTTCTCTTATCTAAATGCAAATGGCACCCTGTGATCCGGGGCTTGAGAACCATCCAACTGTAGTTTCTGTTTACCCAGCGAACTCAGTGGGGCTGACGGAGACCCCTCGAGGGAAGGGGCCAGGATGCAGGGTGCTGTCCACTGGCCACACAGCAGACATTCTCCACTTCTGGCCTCCAGGGATTTAGAGCCCATTCTGTCTGGCAAACAACAGCCCTGCAACTAACCAGAAGGTGTTATTGTTATGTTCTCAACAACTTGGTTTAAAGTCAGATGAAATGTTCATTTAAAGGGTTTTAAAACAGATCAGAAAACATGGTGAGTCCCATGGTCAAGGGTGCAGACAGACACTAATTGTTCTGGTTTTGTTAGGTTCTTTTCATTTGATGCCAGGGACTGAACTCAGGACCTTGAGCATGCTAGACAAGCATTCTATCACTGAGCTACACTTCCCACCCGCCTCAGTAAAGTCTTCAATAGATGACACTAAGTCATTTTTGGCAACACCAAAAAACAAATAAATAGATCCATTTTCAGGTACCAGGGCATGGCTCTATAGTAAAATTTGTGCTTAATATACCCAAGGTCCTTGGTTCAAATGCCAGCATAGGGAAAAAAAAAAAAAAGAAAAAAAAGGGCAGGGGTTGGGGGGGGGGGGGGGGGGGGGGGGGGGGAGAAGAAGTTTGTTTCAAAACATTCTTTCCAAAGTGAAAAATAATAATTATTAATTTTAAATTTTGAGAGGGCAGGGAGATGACTGGGTACATAAAGTGCTTGCCATAGAAGCATGAGGATTTGAGTTGGAATCTCCAACACCCACAGAAAAAGCTTAGCATGGTGGCATATTCATGTAATCCTGGTGCTGGGTGGATGGAAATGTAGGGGTTCCCTGGAGCTTACTGGCCAGACAGCTTAGCTGAATCAGTGAGGCCCAGGTTCAGTGAGAGACCCCGTCTCAGAAAAATAAGTTAAAGAGTGAATGAGAAAGACCTCACTGTCAACCTATGGGCCTAACACACACACACACACACACACACACACACACACACACACACACACACACACACACACACAGGCACTGGGGTCTTGCTGTGTAGCTCACAAAGGCCCCTACTGAACTGCTAGTACTCCTGACTCAGTCTCCTTTGCACAGACAGGCCCATCCCTGGGCAAACCATGTTTTGCTTTTATGTTTGTTTTGTTGGGTTTTGAGACAAAGTCTCATTCTGTAGCTCAGGCTGGGAGAGAACTCACTATGTAGCCCAGGCTGACCTCCCTAGGCTACCCTTCTGCTTCAGCCTCTCAAGTGCTAGAACTACAGGCATGAGCCACCACACCCAGCTGCTACACTTCCCAGAGCACAGTAACTCCTACTCTGCACCTGCCCCTGCACCTGCCCTTTGCTTCAAAGAATGACTGAAAGCGCTGATTTTTTTTTTTTTTCCCTTCTACTCCCTCTTCTGGAGTCAAGGGGTGGCAGTCACTTGTCACCGCAGGGAAGTCTGGAAATACCTAGCTTTTTATAAAGGAACACCTGTGCTTCTGTACGGTTAACAAGGCTGAAGGCCCTCAGCGATGCAGGAAGGTAGATAACACTCCCCATCTGCCCTCCGGTAGCCCAAGTATTAAACAGGAGTAAAAATGGACCAAGCTAGGGAGAGCCACTGACAGAAAGCAGAGGCTGGAGAGGAGAGCTCTGCCAGCCTTTGTCATTCACTGCCCCTTTTCCTCCAAGACACTTCATGCAACCTCAGGTATAGGCATATACAGTAGGTGCAAAGACCAACTATTTGCTGATAATAATCATAAAAAATTTAAGAACAATTCTTTGGTATACATATAGTTTTACTATTTACTAACAATGAAAGCAAATTTGCATACTAATGAGATGGACTGCTTGGTTATTTCTACATGAAGAATTAAATCTTGAGTATGTGTGGCAAGTCCTGTACCTCCAGGACTCGGGAAGAAGAGGCAGGAGGACAGCCTGGACTACACAGTAAGCTTCAGACCAGCCTAGACTACAGAATGAGACCTTCTCTCAAGATACAAACAACAAAAAGAAAAAAAAAAGAATTGTATTTGATACAACAGGATATATCATACTTTCAAAGTTTTTCAAAATTGCTGGATGTTCAGAGATGTTGAGAATGTCACTTTGCATAAATCCACTTTTAAGAAAATGACAGAAGTATGTCTAGGGCCATTCCGGAAACTACTGGAGAATCTGTCCCAAGCCAAACTTCATTCAACATTTTTTTAATGAAGCTGACTTGGAGAGCAATTTTAAAGTCAACACTCGAACACAGTGCAATGCAAGGATGTACTAACTTGACACCCACATGTTGAGGAGTATAAAATATTAAAAGTCCTTATTTCCCAGAATGGAACTGTTACATTTCTGCAAGAGCAGAAAACTTTGTAAATACAGGCCTAGCACCGCACTTCACCACACAGGAGTCTTGAGTCTGAGCTGAGGCGTTGGGTCAGGTCTCATGGGCATGATATTGCCTGATGGCATTCCCAGTACACAATGCCCATGGTGTGTGCTCAGATCGAGGCTGTGGTGAAGTCATGGGATGCAACACAGGTGAGTGCTGCTAGAAACATCTTGGATCCAGTACCCATTCGAGCTTGAATTAATTTTTGGTCACTGCACATTCAGAAACCTTTAACAGTTGCTGAGTTTTTCACAAGCCTACACTCAGTTATACAACCCTGTGGAGCTGTGATCACAGTTTTCGAAGCTGGGTTCTACCGCGTGGAAGATAGCCTTTTAAAACTGCAGTGCTGTTTTTGTGTTGTGTTATGTTGTTGCTCAGGGAACTCAGCAGGCTGTGGGTGCCCCATGAGGCCTTCACACCCTCAAACCACCCTCATAAACAGTCACCGTACAGAAAGCTAATCTAACTGGGAATATGCTTTTTTTTTCACAGCCCAAGCTTTTCTTCACCTTTTTTTTTTTTTTTTTGAGTGTAGCTTGCAATGTAGCTGTGCAGGGAGAGTG